ATAAATATAGATATAGATATACATACACACACACACACACACATATATATATATACATACATACATATTAATATATATATATATATCTAGTTGTATCTAAATAGATGTATACATACCTACGTACGCATAATTGTACATTCGTATTGATAAATATTAGAGTACAGTCTCTTAATGGCTATCAGTGTATACTCGTTGAACGAGTTATTGTATACAAACCCTCTCATACACACAACTCGGTACAGCATACGGTGTATGTGTGATATTTCCTCACACGCGGACGTACACGCACACAATCGTCTCAACACAGAGACACCCCATTGTACCTTTCACCTCATACACCAGCACACGTGTACATAGTATGCTGCAGGCACCCACTCACCGTCTGGTCTGTGTGCATAAGATGGGGTCTGTCAGGGTGGTTGAGGAAGTGCAGCCCTCCAGCGTATGCGTGCATGTTAGCGTGTATGACGCAGCAGTAGTTGGTGGGCGCAACGGCGGTGTTCACACACCCGCTCAGATGGCATGTCTGCGATGAGTAGAGTGACAGGTGAGAAAACAAGCATGGAGGTAAACGAACAAGTGAGGAAACAAGCGCGGAGGTAAAGGGACAGGTGAGGAAACAAGCGTTGACGTAAAGGAACAGGTGTGTCTAACACAAGTACGTCTTAGTAGATACTAACACAAGCATGTATTAGTTGAGACTGACACAAGCATGTCTTAGTGGACACCAAAACATATGGCTACGTAAAGGTACCTGGTCTGTGATGTGTTGAAAGGGTTCCATTGAGATCTGTGTGCCCATTTGCCTCATGTCGAAGGCTCTCTCAGGCGCATGGGCTGAGGAGAGAGCGAGCAGAGAAGTGTGAGCACACAGGACTATAAAAGACCAAACGACGTATAAACCAATCAGGATGAACTATACACGCACAGCACAATGCCTCATAACCCAATCAGAATGAGCTATACACACACAGCACCATGACTTATAACCCAATCAGAGTGAACAATACACACACAGCACAATGAATTCTAACCCAATCAGAATGAACTATACACACACAGCACAGTGACTTATAACCCAGTCAGAATGAACTATATACACACAGCACAATGAACTGTATGCGCAAATCCTTTGGACTAGGCATTCACATACAGTACACAGGTGCATCACATACACACCATCAACTGCAACAGTAACAACACACAGCTCACAACACAACACACACCATACAAACACATACACACACCACACACACTCTTAGACAAATGGCACGATTTCGCATATACAACACACACATGCATGCGTTAACAGAAACACACATGTATGTGATAACTGACACTTGAGGACAACATAGCACCTATGTACTGCACATGAGACTCAAAACCCTAAAACCGAAAACCCTAAAAACTTACCTGGCGAACAGTACTCTATGTTTGGCTCTCGGATGTTTTGACAAATCTTGAGCCGACATTTCTGTGCAAAGCGATGGGAGGCATCCGCGTAGCAGGGGGTGAAAATCGGGTTTATAAGGAGACTAAACCACGTTCAGACATACTCGATAAAGCATCCGGAACAAAACAAACAAACACACAACGCCCGCCCACCCACGCCACCACACGCACTTTACATCACAACATACACACACTTTACATCACAACATACACACACACCACCACACACACTTTACATCACAATATACACACACACCACCACACACACTTTACATCACAACATACACACACACCACCACACACACTTTACATCACAACATACACACACACCACCACACACACTTTACATCACAACATACACACATACCACCACACACACTCTACATCACAACATACACACACACCACCACACACACTTTACATCACAAGTCATCACACACACCGCCACATGCACTTTACACGCGAACAGAGTACACTCGCAAGCCATACACACACACACAACCCCCCCCAACCATTAGCATGTGCACACCTTTGCGTTTGCACCTTTGCGTGCTGATTTGATGACCTGGTGCTGCTGTTCATGGTCGGGTGAGCAGTAGTGCGAGTCATTTGTCCGCAGATGCACACACCCACGCAGGTGACAGATCTGTAGACAACCAACGCACATACCACGTATTAGCCTACAGGCACGGCATACAGCGCCAGATGGAAATGGGAATGTATATGTATGTGTATATGTATATCATATGTACGTGTATGTGTATATATATGTATATGTATATGTGTATGTACATAAGTATGTATATGTGTATGTATTTGTATACGTGTCTGTCTATGGAACACAGAATAGAAGGCTCCGTGATGTAGTACTTCTCAATTGAAGGTGTCTACGTGTCAGCGAGGTGTAATTGTACTTTAATGTGCATATGTACGAAATTAAGATGACAAATTCATCCTTGATTGTGACAGAAACATGTGGACGTAAAAGAACCGGACATTCATATATATTCATATACACATACACACCATG